TTAAATAAATAGAACGAATATATCTAATATGTATATAAATAATTAATATAATGATATAATAAAATAATAATATAATAAATTAAGAAATATATAATAAAACAATATAAAAACGAAATCTATTATAATTGAATATCCAAAAAAAAGCTTAGTTTTTTAATCCTTGCGGTTAATTTTGGTAGTTGACAAAAGGGATCTTTTTTTATTGTTGAAGTATTATTGGTTATACTTTCATCTATATTTTTCAAAAAAAAAAAAAATAATCAAAATTAATCGTACATTACCATCAAAAATTGCTATATAAATATAGTTTTTGCAAAAATTGTTGCTTTTTTATAATTAAAGCATTCGTCATCTATGAATATATTAATAAGTTCGTTAAGATTTCTTTCCAGTAGGTTTTCGAAAGTATAATTCGCCTAAAAATAAAGATTTGTTAAATTATATTATTAAAAAACAATTTACCTTTTTTTGTGGCTTTTAAAAAGTGTTTCTTCCATTCTTTTAAAGAATTTTATATAAATGACGAGAAAGAGAATGATAATGGATTTCTCTTCATAATATTAAGTCAACATCATAAAATCACATAATAACTTATAATTATGGTTTTGCCAGTGACCCCGTCGCAACCCGAGAGTTTTCTAGGCAACTATATTTAGTCTTATCATCTTTATACTTTTTATTAAGAAAAATATCTTTAAAAATTAAAACATTTTTTTTTACTTAAAAAAAAAAAAGTATTAATAAGGAAAATACCACACAGAAATTGATCTTTTTTTATTTCACAGAAATTAGAGAAATTAGATAATAAATCATAAAAAATAGAATTGTTATTAAAAAAAAATAGACATCTAAAATTTAAAGATTTCTTGATTTACCTACCCGTATATATATATAGATAACATTTGGAGACACTCACAGCAAAAGCCGGGGCTCAGCCAAAATTTTGTTTTTGAAATTTTTTTTATAATAACATATTATTAATTGACTTAATCTTTTAGAAAAAAAAAAAAATTTTTTATATATATATTAAAAAGATGTAATATTTTATAATTTATAATTTTTGGATTTTTCTTTTATTCTATTTAATGAATAATATAAATCTGCTAGGAAAAAACTAATACTTCTAATGAATTCCTTGCAAAATCTTTAAAAATGACAGAATAAATTACGATTTACCAAATTAACCAATAATATTAAATTGCGATTTTCTCGAAATCACGTGATTTGCCGAGCCCCGGCTTTCGCTGCGTCTCCATTTATCTTTCTCTTGAAAGCAAATTACTCGTCCCCAAACAACAAAGCACAACCTTTCTTTTACTTAATGAAAAGTGTCAGTAACTTTATCTCTATAGCGTATGTAATGTGTCTTATTATTTGTAAAGGAATTATCTCTAATACAGAGTTTTATTATATTTATTATAACTTAGATTGAATAATAATTATAGGTTATAGTAGTAGATATTATATTATTTCAAACCATCATGATACAAAGGTTATAACTAAAGTTTGATAATATAATGGTGGCTAGCCAACTTAGATAGTTTAGCCTTTATTGTCCGAAGTGTAATCGTAGGACACAATACGCGTGTATGGCCGATGAAATTTTTGGATCAGGTGTAACGTGATTTTTGTTTCGTCATCGTATGTGCAACAATTAATTTTATTTGTATATTTTTTGATTATCATTATCATAAAATAAAATAATATAATAAATAAATAATTATTTGCGCGTGTATATTTTTCTTCTTGTATATAAATATAATGCGACATACAATATCTAATGTTCTATTATTACTAATTTTTGATTGTAAAAATAAAAGTTGCGTTGCGATATAATTATATTTTACAATAAAACAGAACACATTTGTTTGAAAAAATTTTTTTATCGAAGATTGTGGAAAAAAAAAAATAAAATAAAATGTATCGCTAAATTAAATATGTACTGTATAGTTTCATTGATCACACGTTGTAATTTTTTTTAACGATACATTAATTTTTAAGCGATACATTTTAGCAATACCGATACATTTTTTTGTGACATACTTTTTAGTGTTACATTTTTTTTTTGATATATTTTATTATTTTTTTTTATTATCATGTGATTTATGACGCTTCGGACGCATCAACGGTTTCCCGTTTCCTAGTTTTTAACTGTTATACTAAATGATACTTGTATAAAATTAGAAGCTGATTCAAGATGATACTCGTTTACTAGTAATCAATAGTTCATACTGAAATTAAAAAAAAAGGAACATATGTTATATCATAAAATTGCATCTTTAACGTATATACTGTGCACTTTGGAATACATTTCTGTATAAATTTTTCGTCCATACCACCCATGCAAATATTTATTAAGAATTGAACGAATTGATCTTGCATTTTTATACCAATTCTTTATTGTATAACGGAATATTTGGAAGCAGTTTTAGGGTCTTTTCAACTTTTCAAATCGAGATCCTTGTGATTTTGGACCCATTCAACACGACTTTGTATGTAAACTGGTGTAAGCATAAGTGTATTAATTCGGTATCCAAGTCTAGAAACTTAGACTTCAATATCTTCTAAACTAGCAGCAACAGATCTAACAGAAAGCGGGAGCTACCTTCAAATATATTGCTCGATTTCTCAAGATGCATATGGTGTTATTTTTTTAATACGGCCATTACCATCTTTTTGCTTTATATCCCAGTATCTCTATTTTTTTAAGGTTCGGTAGATTGTTTTAAGTGGATCTTTGTCAATGAGTGTATTACTTGTTTCCTGCATCCTGTTTGACGTTGAGGTTTCTTGTTTGGATGAAGTCATTTTAATGCTCGATAATATACTGTCTTTATTAAAGTATAAAAAAGCTTCGCTTTGAGATGTTAGAGTGATTATCAGGTTATATTTTTATATTTTATTTGTCTATTTACGAACATTATTGGATAAGTCATGTAGTTTTCGGTTCTTACGTTTATATTTATAAACAAATTAAATATAAGCAGAAGGTTTTATTAATTAAATTATGTAATTGTATGATGTAAAATCCTTATATAAAATAATCAATTAGTGTTGCCCCAACGTCGGCGTTCTACACTTCCGAAAGAAATTACGAAAAAACAATATCGGAGAAATAAAAGACATGAAAAAATAACGAAGCACAAAGTTACAACGAAAAAATAAATTTAGAATAACGGAAGCAAGTAAAGGATGTATGAATCAAAGAAAAAGATCTCGGTAAAATCACGAGTGGCGTAATTATATTCAATTTAAAATCATTTCTAAAAAATTACTGTAGCAATATAGTTTGCAATGTTGTACTACATTGTGCACGGTACAATAATGTCTTATTGCTGTTTATATCATTTTTTATCATTTTGCAGATCGAACTTAAAAGAATTCATGAGTCGCGTATAATTTCAGTTCAAAATATATTATAAAATTTATGTTACCAAATATATTTATATTTTAAAACATTTTTATAATGACAAATTTATTTTTTAAAATATCAAGTACAGTCCTTGTTTTTTATTAGATTATGCTATAATTCTCTAAAAAAAAAATTTAAAAAAAAAAAAAAAAAAAATTTAAAAATTTAAAAATTAAAAAAAAAAAAAAAAACTATCCCCCTTTGAAAATTTCACTAGGGTGCTTATATTTTAATAAGCATGACTACGATACTTGATGTATCGTATCTATTATATGAAGTTGGCTGCTTTTGTCGTTCCTTTTTGCATTTAAAATAATCCCCAATTGGCCACTTCATCCACATTTTGTAGTTTAGAATTATTTTTTGTTTTTTTGTTTTTTAAATCTGTTTTATGTATTTTGATGATGTCTTGAGGTGAAATTTTTTAAACCTATTTTATGCCCCTATTATATTCGTATGCACTTTCTGTTATTTTTTTCACCTCAAATATTTTTATTAACCTGAACGAAGCTTGCCACCTCTACGCGGTGTCCAGGAGAAACAGTTATAGGTTCATCTATATCTGGCTAAGCGCAAGCATTTATTATGAAGCAATTTTTTTGGGGACAATTGACAATACAAAAAAAAAATATATATATTTTCTTCAAATAATTTAATTTAATTGTTTAATTAATTAATAAAGACCTCTCTATTTCGTCTAGTCTTTTATAAAATTCATTTTTTTAGAAAAAATCATTATTATTTTTTTCTTTTGTTAATTTCAGTATGTTTGTTAATATAAATTCATTTTAAAGAATACATTCTTGCCATATTATAATTTCCAGTTTGAAAAATGCAATAATTTATTACTTAATTGTTCAAGCAACATTGCATCCCGTGAACAAATAATAAATGCGATTTCTTTTTCAACAGTATTTTAAATTTGCTCAAAGCATGTTCTGAAATCCGAATTATGTAGATAAGTTCGAACCGGATTCAAGTCAGTTAGAACCTGAAGCAATCTAACATCCATACAGTCCTATGAAAAAAAAAATTCTGGAATTTGTCCAGAATTTGATGTAGTATCCAGATAATGTCCGGAATCCACCATGTTTTGGTACACTTTCCGGACGATTTTGACATTTTCCGGACATTTTTCACATACACCCGGACATTTTCGATAACATTTTCTGGACAATTTTTTTTTATAGGACAGGAACACAGTTTGATTGTTTTTTTTTTTATTTATATTCATTTATAATATATAATATTGACGATGTTTTTGAAATTCCACTGGTTTGTAATTTTTTTTTTTTTGTTGTAAATTTGCATATAATACTAGATTTCAAAATTAGTAACTCTTATATGAATCATTAGATTAAAAAAATTAGGGAACAGGAATTATTTTATTTTTAGAACAATTCAAATCATCCAAGGTTGCGGGGCAAAACCAAATCCCATTTTGGCAAAGTCGAAACCTTTGATTTCGATGGTTTCGACGGGTTTCGACGGCGTGATTTCGACAGTTTCGATTTCGATGCTGTCGAAATCTCCGGGTTTTTGTCGGCAAACTTAACGGATACTCTTTGCACTTTTCAGTTTTCAAAATATGTCACATTCGTTTAAAGTATCGATGTTGATAACCATGAGAAATAGATCATATTAAAAATAATTTACAATTATTTTATCAATTTCAATTACAATTTAGGGCAAAAAAGTCTACTTCTTGTAAATTTACCGTATTATTTCCATGTGAATTTTAACTCTCGAAGCGTCCATTGAAGCAGCTGGATGCTAGGGCCGATCTTATCTTTGCAAAATCTAGACGACAAGTTCCCATTGGATCTAATATTGGAAATTGTTATGTTATTAGAGAAATGCAATCAGAAAAGAAAACTGAAATTAATGATGATAAATTCTGACATCATCAAAACAGCATGATTGGTTTAATTGCATGCGACGAGAATAAGTCGCGCTAGGAAACCTTTGATTGTAGGTGTATTTCAAAATCAATCACTAGATTATATAACAAAAATCGTTGATATACTTAAATTAGATTTAGTTCAATTACACGGTGATGAGCAATCTGGTTTGGCGAGATTTATTCCAGTCACGTCATTTAAGATTTTCTCATTGATGACAATTTCTCAAATCCTATATTAGTTACACAACCCGGATATAATGCTTTCTGTTTATTAGACACGAAACCAACTGGAGTTAAACATTCTGAGGAAATGGACAAATATTTGATTGGGATATCGCATTGAAAATTAAGAAGTAAAATATGCCCGAAGGGAGAGTTTCCTATTATATTAGCAGGCGGATTGTCACCTGAACATGTTGAGGATGCTGCAAGAAAGCTAAACCTTTGATGGTTGATGTATATAGTGGTGTCGAAACTAATGGGAAAAGGATTTAGACAGAATTTGTAACTAAAGCTAAATCTGTTGTTTACGATGACGATGAGTAAGACGACGAAGAAGAAATTGACGGTGATATTGCTGTGAATGACGACAAAGGAAAATCCGGTAGTATGATTATCAAGAAGAAGAAACTAGAATTGCTCAATTTTCAATCTTTTATTTTTATAATTTCGTAGTTATGGAATTCTTTAGTTTTTTTTTTTTTTTTGTAAAAAATTTTTTTATTTTATTTTTCCTTAATTATTATTGTATTTTCATATTTTTTTTAGATTGTATAGAAATGGTCATTACAAGGTTTTCTTGATTTTAGAACATATATTTTGTATTTGATTACCTCACATTTTTTATATATGTAAAAAGTTGATTCCGGATAATTGTATTTAAAATTTAAAAAATTTAAAACTTTCGTATTTATTTCATTTATTTTGAAAATTATAATTCATCAGATTGACCAGGTTAAGGAGTGAATTAAGAATTGGAATTTTAGATATTGAATTAATCATGTCGAATTTTTCACAATGGCCAATTAAGCACGAACGAATGAAATTTTATATGTTATCAAAATTTTTTTTTCATCATGATGAGTGGCGCGGTAATCAAAAATGTAAAGGAGGTGTGTCTGTTAGTGGCATTTACATAAATAACATAATACTGCAGCAAAAAATTATTGTACCAAAAAATGGATCTTTACTTTGTATCAACGTAAAATTTAAAGATCATCCATTCAAGATATAAACAATTAGGAAATAACGCCTTTATTGACGGTTCCAAACAAAACTCGGCAATTAATTGGCTGGCTACACATATTGGTTTGGCGACTAAACTTTGGTTTGAGCGAAACCGCGGCAATCAATTATGTTGCTGAGGTTATTCTGTGGCAGAGGAGTGTCTTGTTAACAAATAATGAACCTGTCTTTTATATTCTGAACGTAGATAATGAGATTTTGTTATTATCCAATAAATATTGGATAGCCCAAATTTTTCGATAATATTATCCATGACGTTTTGTCCAAAATGTTCGAATATGGTAATCGTCAAAATCAAAATTCAAGGTAGATGCGAAAAAAGTCCATTTACTGATACGGGTGGTACTGTTAATGGGAGAGGTATTATATGGGACCTTTGCAATAGAAAGGGGGAAACAGCCGGAAAAAATCAACTTACTTTTATATGCCAAAATATGGTTTTTAGGTCAAAATATGTTTAGATTTAGCATTAACTCAATTTTTATTTTTTTCAGCTGTTTCCCCCTTTTCTATTGCAAAGGTCCCATATAGTCATCTTTATATATCAAAGCAAATGTAATCTTTTAAATAGCGTTAGCATTGATAAATATTACACGATGCAGAGTAATTTATAACAATCGTCCCTTTATAATTGACTATATAATAACCTCTTAAACCCTCGCTGATGTGCTGCTGATGTACTTTGGCGGCGCTCACTGGTGTAAAATCCAGAGCATTTTGAAGTGGTCCATTGGTTCTGGCTGATCTTCCTTAGGGAGTAGTTATCCGCGGGAATTACTCACACACAACCCTTATTTTCATTTTTATTTTAACACAGAAACGGACGATTCCGAATATTTTCCGAACACTCTAGCATTACCGACAACGAAACGAAGGACTTTTCGCGTCAAAGATTCAAATTTCAAGCGAGAATTCAGTGACGCGTAAATAAAAAATATATATTCATGTATATATATAAATATTTATATATCGATATAGTATTAAGTCATAAACAAAATGTACTTATTAATGCGAAGAAATTTATTATTCATGCAAAATTGAAGATTAATCAATTATTTATCAAAAGATATTTTTAAAAATCGACCAAATAAAATTGATGATTTTTATTTCAGAAATTCATTTTAAAGGATGTTTGATGTCTTATATTTTGTAGATAGATGTTGAAGTATTATTTATTTTTACATTTTTTATTAAAATCATTTCATACGACATAAAGAACAACACGTGATGTCCATTTGAACGGAATGGTTGATCGGATTAAACCAACAATAAAATTTGTAATGCCCGATCGATATCGTTATTTTATTTTGTTTAAATGAATTTATGTTAACTCCACGCCTTCGATAACAATATCTTGAAGGTAGGCAGTTAAAGTCATTTTCAAAATATAGTGTAGAAGAAAATGAGGCTGATATTCATTATCATTTTTATTTTATTTTATTTAGTTTTAAAAATGGAAACCAATCATAAAGAAATTAAACCTCATAAAGTATCAAAAAGGTAGAAAGTGTACCTGAAGTGTTATAATATCCAAATAAATCGTCCCTTTTTGATGATATTATAATATTACTCTTTATAAAGAGAATGATAAAAAGGCAAAAGAATATCATGTTACTTGTTATTATATGTAAAATTTCCAACGAAGAGCATATCAATTTCTAGACTAAGAATCACCGTGGTAAATTAAATATTTTGTATCATTAATAATTGCGGACTAATCATTTCAATATTTTTTTTCATATAATTAATATTTAGTTAAAAAAAAAAAGGGCTTATGTGAAATTTGCTGAACTATACAGTTTTGAAATTTACTCTTGGCGCCTGGAAAGCGGAAGTTATCAAGCGTGTTAATTAGTATTTTATATGGTTTATTAAAATTTGTGAAGCTCACCAATTTTTTAAAAGATTCCTTCGCATCGAACCTATTAAATTATTTTAAGAGAATCTGGATATCCTCCCACTACACAATCATAAATGTTTGTTGTCAAGATTATTGTTGTCTTTATATTAGCCTTGACGACACCCTATAGATTCTCTATGACTGTTGAACGGTACAGAATATAGACTTGGAAGAATTCCTTAACTAGCTTGCTGAAACAAAAAAGACTCGTATTTCCTTTTTAGTAAATTTCGCCAAAAAAATTTTAATGGGTTATGTTAAAGTCGCTAAAAAAATATGTTTTAAAGAAAATGACATACATACATATATGCAAAGTTTACTCTATAAAACATATATTAATATACCGATTTAGCAATAATACCATGTAATCGCCCCTATGTTTAAGACTTATCAACATCAATATATTTCCAAACTTGATAAATCATTTCCCATAGGCCTTTTTTATTATGAATTACATACATCCCATAAGTGTTCAATGAGATTTAGGTCTGAAGATCAAGGAGGCCAATCAAGAAATGTAATATGTTAAGATTACGGCATGTTGAGGGTCATTATCTTGTTGAAGAACAATATTATTTATATCTAAATTAAACCTGTTTAAGGTCTCAATTAAGTCATTTGCGGAATTTTACTATATCTCTCACCATTTAATTTTCCTTCAATATGACAGAGATTGTCAATGTCATATTCTGTAAAGCAAACCCATACATAACACTGCTACCTCAAAATTTTACTGTTGGCTATTAAATTGTATCCAAAAATTTGAAACTTGCTCTCATCATACCAGATTACATCACCATGAAATTGAGTATCAACAAATGGAAATCATTAACAGATATTCATTGAATATCTTATTTCAGAATTTGATTCATTTGACATCGTGAATATCAATATTCAAAACTATAATCACTATTATCCAATAAATCTTCCAAATTATTCTTAACCATACATTCGATCTTCCACAAATTATCAAATAAAAGCTTATGCCATCAGGCCGATTATGAAAGCTCATTAGTAGTATTGGTGAAGGTGACAGTTTTAGGTAGCAGTGGTTCATATTGTATAGCTGAAGTACAGTAAGTTTCTTCGAAAAGTGTAATATCTTTTTTCTCGCTTTATGAATACATAATCTAAACCTATGAATTCATTTATGACTATAGAGGCAGAGGATCCGTACTTTGATAATTTCACGACTGTTACTACAAGTAAGGAAAGATAAATATCACTCCGTACTGCTTTTTTGAAAAATAAGGTAAAATTGTGACTTTAACAGAATGTAAGTATTATAATTTATGTGATTAATTATATATAGTATTCAAACGAGAATGTCGAACCATTTCCAAATTTCGATCCTATAATTACATTCTCTTTCAACAATAATACGATAGATCTAATTTATATCCTTGATTAATCTCACAAATTACAATTCGAAGATTACGCGTTAGCACGAAAGTAATATTCATTCTTTTATATTTCGACTTTTATCTGTAAAATATTTAATTACGCATTATATCATTATAGATTTTATATAGAAGTTTATACTTATTATCACACTATAACATTACGTATTTGGTGTGATTTTTAATTAAGCAAGTCGATAAAGAAAGCTTATTATTTTTTTTTTAAGAGAATAGGAGGCTAATCAAATAGAAGAAAAATGAATGGTTTAATGACACTTAATCTTTATTAATTTACCATTCAAATCTAAATAATCATCAAAAATGTTTTAGGAGTTCCAGGAATACATTACTCAGAAAATGGAATTTCATCGAATATTAAATTCTAATAATAATAATTAAATTTGAAAAAAAAAAATTGATAATTTAAATAAACACTGGTAAGTTTTGTTTAAT